CTTTTGTGCCTAAGGTGGGACTAGAACTCCCTGTCTCCTGGTGATTGATGAAGTCACCCAGCCAGTTTTCATGCCTAAAGTGGGACTATAACTCCCAATCTCCTAGTGATTGATTCAAAGTCCCCAGCCAGCTTTCATACCTAGGGTGGGACTAGAATTAATCACCTCCTGGTGATTAGCCCAAAGTCACCCGGCTGACTTTCATGTCTAAGGTGGAACTAGAACTCCCTTTAGCCTAGTTTTCCCCTCCCTCCCTCTCTCTCCCTCTCCCTCCTTCCCCTCCCTCCCCTCACCTCTCACCTGCCTTTTTGGGACCGCTGAGACTGACACACCCTTCTCCCCTTGGCATCTCCAGACAGATGCCGGGAGGAGTGCCGTTTCAACGCCGTGTGCCTGATCCGCCGGGGCCTCGCCCGCTGCTCCTGCGAACGGATCATCTGTGATGGCGCCTACCAGCCTCTCTGCGGCAGGGACAGCCGGACCTACTTCAATGACTGTGAGCGCCAGAAGGCGGAGTGCCAGCAGAAGGCTGCCATTCCAGTCAAGCACCATGGACCTTGTGGTAAGTGAGGCCAGACGAGCCCCAAAACTCACCTATTTCTCTGCCTTTGCCCAATGGGCGCAGCCGTAAGAGGTAAGTCTGACCCTTCAGGATGAAACGCAGCCCCTCTTGATCTCTTCCTTCCTTCGTTCCCTGCTCTCCTCCTGTGGCCTCTTGTCTCTGTTTGTCATCCTTTTGTCCTTACGGGGAATTTCGGATAAGAGTGTTCAGTCCTGTCCATCCTCCATCTTTTCATCTCTCCATCTCTTTCTCTCTCGTTCCTGTCTTACCTGCTTGCTGATTCCTTTCTCGGCTTGGGCCTCACACGCTCCCTCTGGCACCATCAAGGTTGGGTTCCTTAACACACCTTTCCATTCTCCAAACCTTTCTTAGTTTGCAGGGCTCAACCAGTGGTGGAATTCAAAAATATTTTACTACAGGTTTTGTGGCGCGCGCGGGCGGAGTGTTCTAAAACGGGCAATTTTAAGCACGAAAACTTAACCGTCAGCGCTGGTGAGTAAAACAGCTGAGCTGCAGCGATCTGCTCTGCCTTGCCTACCAGCTGAGCTACGAACAAAGGAAATATAGGACAGGAAAAGGGCAGAGGCGGGTGGGTGGGGCCAACTGCTGACCGGCGCTACGAGATCACTAGAACCAGTGCGAACCGGCGGCATACCACTGCTGGGCTGAACCTCAGTGGCGTTTTTTCTTCCTGGGCTTCAGTCTGTGGAGGTCAGAAGTGGAGGCACGCAAAGCAGGTCGCGCTTCCCCTGAAGAGCTCAGAACAGGCAGCTCGTTCTCCCAAACACAGGAGAAGGAAACAAAGAGGATATCCAGGTGGTTCAATTTGTCCTGTTTATTTTATGCCACTTTCCCGTTCACTTTTGCCTCCTTCCTTCCTTCCTTCCTTCCTTCCTTCCTTCCTTCCTTCCTTCCTTCCTTCCTTCCTTCCTTCCTTCCTTCCTTCCTTCCTTCCTGTGTTTCCTTCCTTCCTTCCTTCCTTCCTTCCTTCCTTCCTTCCTTCCTTGTGGTTAGAATGCAGTATTGCAAGCTAATTCTGCCCACTGCCAGCAGTTTGATCCTGACCAACTGGCTCAAGGTTGATTATTCAGCTTTCCGTTCTTCCGAGGTGGCTCGAAAGAGGACCCCGATTGTTGAGGGCAATAGGCTGACTCTGTAAACCGCTTAGAGAGGGATGTAAAAGCACGGTGAAACGGTATACAAACCTAAGAGCTGTTGCTATTAATAGCCACAGTGATTCACTTAGCAATGGCGTCAAGAAAAGTCGCAAGACGAGGCAAAGTTCACTCAACAAAGTGTTTTGTTTAGCAGCAGATACATTGGGCTCCAATAAGTTATGGCAACGTGTGTGTCTCAAGGAAATTCCATGCAGAGAATCAACTGCCGAAGAGGCTTTCGTTTAATACGGGCTTGATTCGCAATCATGTCAAAAGAAGAGCTAGTAATTTCATTTCTACGACATGCAAATTTGATTCCTTGTTAACCCTGGACAGGTTTGCCTGCTGGGGGAAATGCGCCTTCAGTCCGTGGTTTCTGTGTATGATGCGACCCTCAAAACAAGTTAAATCAGTAACTGAATTAAATGCACTAGCTAAACCAGGGTAATTCGTTTTTTCCACCTCCTCTGAAAATTCACAGGGGGAAAGATATGATACTATCTTTCTCAGGAGCAGGCAGGAAAAAAAGAAAGAAAGATAAAAAGTCTTGTTTTTCTGGCTGGCTTTAAACAAAAACAAAAAAACAAACCACTGGGTGTGAAAGGAAGAAGAAAATTAATCTCCCCTGTCTGGTGTGCAGAAGCAAAGTGGATTACATATCACACCTCACACACACACACACACACACACACACATCGAAAACAGTCAAACATTTGCATTGAGGCAAATAATTCTCCGCTAATTTTTCCGCCACAATACATCTTTTCATCTTCAAATCGCCCCGAGATTCTTCGATAGGAAATGTAAAATAATCACGGGTTTGATTTAAAGAGCGGTTGTTCGCCCAAGTGTTTATATTACAGAAGTGCTTTTTTTCCCTCTCCTCTCACTTTTTGTTCTGCCTTGTTGGCAGTTCCCAAATGCTAGTTTTGGAGAGAGAGAAAAAACTGATTTTAAACCTGCCCCTTCCCCGGGCAAAATGGCAATTCCCTCTGCGTGGAATTGACAGAAATTCAGCTGAAGAAAAGCTGGACTCTCCCTTTTTTTTTAAAAAAAAATTCTCTTCCAGGGGAACTTAAAATTGGGGTGTGTGCCTGGAAACTTGGGGTTAGCAGTCCATAGCTATGTCTGTCTCTCTTTCCCCCCGCCTCCCTCCTCCTTTCTTTCTCTCCTCCCTCTCTCCTTCCTCTTTCTCTCTTTCTTTCTGTTGTCTTGTGTCTTCTAGTGTTTCCTGTCCGGAGAAAGGAAGTGCGCCTGTCCAGTTCTTCAGCTCCCTCTACCAGGAGAATTCTGCTGCGAGGTTCGCTGCTTTTCTCTCCTGCACTCGTTTTTCGCTTCCTCTTGGCATCGCTTGTTTCCCTGCATTTTGCAGAGGGGGGGGGGGGGGCGGAGGGGGGGGAAATCCTCTTGCTTTGAAAGCCTTTTGGCACATCTTTCCCTTGCCCGTCGATGCCCGGATGGCACGAGAGAGCTGGTGGCCGGCATTTTCTTCCCCTTTGTAGGGAATCGCCAAAGCTGCACCCTTCTCCCGAAGGTGCCCAATGCATTCCCACGACATTTTGAACAGGGGTGGGCTTCAAAAAAAAATTTAGCAACCGTTTCTCTGCATGGTTGCTGGGTGGGCGTGGCCATGATGGGTGTGGCCTAGTCGGCCTCCTGCAACACGGCAGGGGGGGGGGCGTTTTCACTCTCCCCGGGGCTCCAGAGTCTTTCCTTCAGGCTCCAGGAGAGCAAAAATGGCCTCCCCCAGACTCCGGAGGCTCCGTGGAACTTCTGAACTTCCAGGAGGGCAGTTTTCCACCCTTCCAGGACTCCGGAAGCTTTCTCCAAGCCTCCAGGAGGGTGAAAATGGTCTTCCCCGGGCTCTGGAGATCTGGAACTTCTGGAACATCCGGGAAGCCCATTTTTCACCCTCCCCCAGCCTCCACGCGGGCCCTGCCCTTACCTGGGATCCAAAACGTGCCATGTGGAGACTCGGGAGGGGAGGAATGGGCAGGACCAGCCAGTCGTTCTAATTTTTAAAAAATTAACTTCCGGTTCGTGCGAACCAGTGTGAACCGCTAACATCTCACCCCTGCATTTTTGAGCCTGGGGACCGTATTAGCGCGTCTTCTGGGCTTGGGTGGTCCCACGCTTAACAAGCAGGATGATATGAACTGGCACTGCCAGAGGGGGGAATAAAACCATCCCAAGGCTAAGCCCAGTCTAAGGAAGTTGGGGACACGTCCCTGTACGTCTTTCACCGCCCTGATCAAGCCCGTTGCATGAAGAGAGCTAGTCTTCGGGTTACAACCCCAGTTGAGCCCAACATTTCCGTTGCCAAGTGAAACGTCGGTTCGGCGAGTTGGCCCCATACGGCGACCTTCCTCGCCCCGTGGGTGAAAGGGAATCGTTGCCCTTGTTCAAAGTTAGGGACGTGAATCCGGATCTCCCCCCCATTTGAGTGTGCTCGTCAAAGCGGATCGCACGACCCCAGGATACGGTGACTGTCATAAATGGGAAGCAGTTGGCGAGCGCCTTGACCGTGGATCGTGTGATCGTGAGGATGTTGCAGTGGTCATAGGTGTGAGAAACGGTCCTTCAGTCCCTTTTTTTCAGTGCCATTGTAACTTGGAACAGTCACTAAATGAACTGTTGTAAGTCGGGGACTACCTGTAGCATTCATTTCGTTCCACGGTTTCTTCTCTTGCCTACAAGTGCTTTGGTAAATAAGAAGAGAGTGTTTCAGGCTATTCTCCAAAGCACCTGAACGCAGGACAAGAAGCAACGGATGGAAACCAATCAAGGAGAGAAGCAACCTGGAATTAAGGAGAACCTTCTTGCCAGGGAGGACAATTAACCAGTGGAACAACTTGCCACCAGAAGTTGTGGGTGCTCCATCACTGGAGGTTTTTAAGAAGAGATTAGAGAGCCATTTTTCTGGAATGATATAGGGCAGTAGTGGCTAACCTTTTGGGGCTTCTGTGCCAAAAATTGTGTGCGTGCTTTCACGCTCATGTGCCAGTACCCAGAAGGCAATGCGCCCCCCCCCCCCCCCTCACGCTCCCTACGCATGCGCATGCAATCCCCACCCACCCATCCCTGCCACCCCCTTACCTGCACTGCCCCTCATAGCTGATTTTTGGCCAGTTTGAGTCCTTTTTCTGCCTCCCACAGGCTTCAAGGACGGCTTCTGCAGGCTTCTGCAGGCCGAAAACTAGGCCCCGTTTCGTCACTTCCAGTATTTCCGGGAAAAAGGAAGTGATGAAACGGGCTTCATTTTCGGCCTGAAAAGCCTACAGAAGCCTTCCTGAAGCCTCTGGGAGGCCGAAAATCAGCTGTGAGGCGCGTGCATGCCCAGTGAGATAAGTTTGCCTGCAGCTGGTCGGCTGTGATTAAATCCCACAGAAAAGCTGCTAGCCCAGGAGCTAAGAAAAGTTAGCATGGCTTGCCATCTCCCTGATGGGCTTGCTTTCTACCTGCAGGGAAGTGGCTAGCAGGGGGGCCTGTTTCCCTTCCGTGACAATCTATCAAAGTTTGAGAGCCTCGGCTTCACAGTCCTGTCCGCCCCGTTGGGCTGGGGGTCTTATTTTTAAGATTGGTTTTGTTTGCACGCACCGCGACGGACCATCGCAAGAAAATTGGGAACTTTAGAACGAACGATGGCTGCTGCTTCCTGGTCACTGCGTTTGGTCATCCTGTCTCCGTGTTTTCCTCACCTTCCTCTTCCTCTCTTGCTTCCTTCTCTCCCTCCCTCTGTGAAATGCTCCCTCCCAGCCTGCTTTCCGCATCCTTCCTTTGAGCAACTTGGCATTGCGTTGCACCGAGATCTGCAGGCCAAATGATCGCAGACTTTCACTCCCCACTCCTCAATTTCCTCCTACCCCCACCCCCCCTTGCATACTTTTGTTCTTCCCACCTCCTGGGTATATGAAGGGCCCTGTCCTGAGCCAATTAAGGAGAGAGGGAGGAAGAGAGAGAGAAAAATACAGAGAAAGAGAAATACAGAGACAGAGACAGAGAGGGAGGGAGAGAGAGAGAAATACACAAAGAGAGAGAGAGAGAGAGAGAGATCATCAATAAATAAACCTCCTTTTTCACCCAGAGTCGCTAAAAGGTTGAGGAATTCTAAGTTTATATACCTATAGCGGTGCAAATCTTTTTCTCATCGGGACTGGAAGCAGATTGTGCTTTGGTGGGCTCTAAAATCCTGAGAACTAAAGCTGGTTGCTCTGATGTGTTGACTACATCAAATCAAAGTCCTTATACAAAATGCATAAGCCTACCCCCAAGATGGAGCAATAGTTATTTCAGGGACCCAGGAATAAATGTTGGTGCCTACTAGGTAGTTCTAAATCATACTTGCTGCTGTGCTGGAGAGCAATAATTAATATTTGTAGAGGAAAAAAGGAAAAATAACATGATTGATACAAATGGGATCTAGTTTGGTCTAATGGTTAAAGACCTTGAGTTCCAGTCCCTTAGGTTTGAAAGCTGTCTGGGCCAATCACCAGGAGACGGTGACTTCTAATCCTGCCGTAAGCATGAAAGCAGGTTGGAAGACTTTAGGCCAATCACCAAGAGACGGTGATTTCTAGTCCTGCCGTAAGCATGAAAGGCGGCTGGGTCACCTTGGGCCAGTCATCCTCTCTCCACCTGGCCGGAGTCAGCACACAACTCCCAGATGGCCCCTGGCCCCACATCTGTGTCAGATGCAAATCCTTCGTTGGAGTCCTCCCCAGACTCCCTGACCGGTCCTCGTTCTTCACCACTGTCCAAATTCCGCTGCCGTCTGCTCTGGCTGTCGTCGAACCACCACAGTCAGGGAAATGCCAGGGGGATTCCCTTGCCTTGAGACTTGTGTCTTGCCTGGTTTGGGTAACAGAGCGACCTGCTAAGTTCCTGATCCTTCCGCCCAAATGGTTGGGGAGAGAGATGGGCGTCCCTGCCTCACTAACCATTCGACCTGCTTTCCTGCTCTTCCGATTCAGATCTGGCCAAGCCGAGCCCCTGCCTGAGCGTCGAGTGCCAGTTTGGGGCCACCTGCGTGGTGAAGAACCAGGAGGCCATTTGCGAGTGCCAACAAGTGTGCCAGAGCGTCTACGATCCGGTCTGCGGCAGCGACAACCTCACCTACAGCAACCCTTGCGAGCTGGACGCCATGGCGTGTGCCCTCCGGAAGGAGATCCGCATGAAACACAAGGGCCCTTGCGGTGAGCCGTTAGATCCCCCTGCTGCCTGAAATAGAAGAGAAAAATAGGAAAAGAATGGAAAATTAGGAAAGAAGGAACAATTATCCTTGGGGGAGGGCTCCGAAAAGCGACACCCCAGCTTTTAGCCTAATTTCACATTCTTACTTCTGAGAGATTTAGAAGGGAAACACAGTGACATTCCAAACTCGGTTAAAGATTCAGATAGGCTGCTCCTATTGTTGGAAGCTCTGCTATCTGAGTGGGATCAGAAGAGTGATAAGTGAAGGAAGCCCAACCAGGGCAAAATTGGTGGTGTTGTGGCCTGTTGGCAGCCGGCCTCTCCAGCAGCCAAATCAGAGGAGGAGGCGGCGTGGGAGTCAGGGTCGGGCATCAAGGCAACCTGGGAGCTCCGGCGGGGAAGAGGGAATGGAGTTGGCAGGGAGGGGGAGGGGGAAAGAGAGAGAGAGAGAGACATGGCGCCTGGGCTGTCCGTCAGCCCTCAGACGGAGAGTCCACAGCCCGTAGGTCTGGAGGTGGCCGATGAGGAAGAGAAGGAACAGCTGGGCCCGGTGCCTGATGCGTGGATGCACAGAAGGCAGAGGAGAGGAGAGCAGTGGAAATCTATGGGCTGGTCCTTGGGACGAAAGAAGCACCGCTGCTTGCGAAGCCCCACCCTAGTTCCGGGGATAAAAGGCAGGGGGTGGAGATGGATAGATGCACAGAGCTGCCAGAAGAAGGGAACAGTTAAGGAACAAGAATCGACTTGGCGCTAAAGACTCAGGTGGATGGTGAATGGCCCCTCCCATAAGGAATAAAGAGGAGCAAAAGGGGAGTGGGGTTTGCAGGAGACAATTAGTTCGTTTAATTAGTCTGAAGATCTGTTCCTGACTTCTTGCCAAGTCATTGCTGCTACAGCGTGGCGTTTGGAAGCTATCGGCCTGGCAACTCTCCCAGCCGGATAAAGGTCTGTAGTTGTGAAATCTCATGAAAGACTGTTTGCCGGGACTTTTCTGGAGAGGAAATTCACTTTAACCTTAAATAAAAGGGGTTTTTTATCGGGACGAGGAGTCTCTTTCACGATCTCGGGAAGCCTCGGTCAGAACAGAGAGGTTCATTTCAATTTCTTGTTCTTATGCCTGCTCAGAGGAGAATGTGGGGACTTCCCTCCCAAAAAGGTGGGTTGATTTGGCATGTGCCCCCCCCCACTCCTCCCCTTCCTGCTGCTGAGCTGTCTTGAGGACTGGAAACCTGACACTTCCTTCAGGGCGGCTGAGGCTTAATTCTCCAGGGGCTTCTTCTGCATGTTCGAAAGAAGGCCAGAGTGGATGATTTGATGCTGCCTTGGAGGGGGGAAGGAATTACAGCTCAACGGAAGCGCACCGCTCTCCAGGCTTGTCAAGTCAGACAATCTGGTACATGGGAACTGGGAATTTTTTCCCCCCGGGGACTTTTGGGTTTTTTTTTTTTTTTTGTAAAACAATAAATAAATAACAATCCAAGCACGTAGCGCCTGTCAGAGGGGAACTTAGCTGTGCTTGCTTTTAGCAGGTTGCCGAAGGGTTTTTTTCAAAACTCTTTTTGCCTAACGCTCGGCTGTGCTTTCAAATTGCTGGGATTTATTTTTAGTGTGTTTTGTTTGTGGTTTTTACTCTGATCATTTTATTGCACTTCATACTTCTGTTGCTGTTGTTATGAATTGCCTTGGGACCTGGGATTGACAGATTGAACAGGAGAGAAACTCTTTTCGCTCTCCCGTCCTGTATGGTAATTTAAAAAAAATCTTCTTCGCCCCTCCTTTCCTTCCTTCCTTCCTTTCTTCCTCCCTCCCTCTTTCTTTCTCTCTTTCTTTCATCTTTCTTTCTACTTCCCTCCCTAACTCTTTCTTTCTGCATTTCTTTCTTTCTATATCTTTCTTTCTCCTTCCCTCCCTCCCTCCTTTCTTTTTTTCTTTCTTCCTCTCTCTCCTTTTTCCCTCCCTCCCTCTTTCTTTCTTTCTTTCTTTATCTTTCCTCCCTCCCTCTTTCTTTTTTTCTTCCTCTTTCCTCCCTCCCTCCTTCCTTTCTTTTTTTCTTTCTCTCTTCCTCCCTCTTTCTTCCCTTCCTCCATCTTCTTTCTTTCCCTCTTTCCTTCCTGCCTCCCTCTTTCTTTCTTCTTTCTTTCTTCCTCTCTTTCCTCCCTCCCTCCTTCCTTTCTTTTTTATATCTTTCTTTCTCCCTCCCTCTTTCTTTTTCTCTCTCTTTCCTTCCTCCCTTCCTCTCTTTCTTTCTCTTTCCTCCCTCTTTCTTTCTCCTTCCCTCCCTCCCTCCCTCCCTTCCTGCCTCCCTCCTTTCTTTCTTTCTTTCTTTCTTTCTTTCTTTCTTTCTTTCTTTCTTTCTTTCTTTCTTTCTTTCTTTCTTCTTTCTTTCTTCCTCTCTTTACTCCCTCCCTCCTTTCTTTTTTCTCTCTTTCCTTCCTCCCTTCCTCTCTTTCTTTCTCTCTTTCCTCTCTCCCTCTTTCTCCTTCCC